GCCAGAAAGAGGCAGACTGAGGCCAACCAGGGACTTTGATATGAACAGTGCCATTGTTGGGGACAGGAGTCAGATTGGAATGGAAGAGTGACTGTGAATTAAGGGTGAGAGGTAATGAGGAAGTGGCTGGGGATTTATCTCTGGCAGAGTATTTGTACAGCAGTACACTGGTGTCCAATACCCTGAGTTAGGTCTCCAGCAAGAGGAAAAATGAACTCTCACAAACTGGAACAGGACAGAACTTACCATGCCTGGAGAGAACACTGTTTAATTTCATGGAAGAGGACACCAGAAGACTTTGCCTGTCCCTTTTTTCTAAAGCAGCACTAATCAACATTCAGGTATTTCTATGGTTGTTTTCCACCCCGGTGGTGGTTTGAATGAAAATGTCCCCCATAGGTTCCAAATATTTAGACATTTTGTACCCAGTTGGTGGCACTGTTTTAGGAGGTCTTGAAGGTGTGGCCATGTTGGAGGAAGCACATCACTTGGGGTGGGCTTAGAGAGTTCTTAAGCCCTGTCAGGTCTTCAGTCTCTTGTGTCCTGTCGGTCCTTGTTGCTTGCTTGAAGATGTGAGTGCTTAGCTTTCTCCTCCAGCCACCTCTGCTGCCACACCGCCCTGCCAAGACGGACTGTAATTCCCCTGGAACCAAATAAACTCTTCCTTCTATAAGTTGCTTCGGTCAATGTATCTATCGCAGCAACAGAAAAGTAACTAATACAACCCCTTCTACCAAAGGTATATGGTGTAGGCATTGAAGCAGTCCTGACCCAAGGGAGGGGTTCTAACCACAAGTCAAAACTGAGCTCCCCAGGTACAACTGAGCACGTCCTCATAGGAAGGCAGTGTGCTAACCACTTCTGGATGGTTGTGGTGAGCTGGGTAACCCCTGAGCACGGATGTGCAGCTTCTGCAGCTGATTGGAACAATACAGTAACCACACTCTTTGGATCACAGTGGATGAAATAGTCAGGAGACAACAAGCATGCTTTCTAAATACAGACCGACAAAGCTTTGCTGATGTTTAGATTGTGTGGTCTCTGCAGTTTGGGAGATGCTGTGGGGTGAAATACCTGGCATTCAAGAGCCTCTTGCTTCTCAGGTAGTTACTTCATGAACTTCTGTCGACTCTCTTCTTTCTGCGCCATTATGTGCCGTTTCATCCTTTGCATATCCTCCAACATCTTTGTGGCAGCCTGTGACGATTCCGCTTCTTCATGTCCCATTGAGAAGGAAAGTCAATGAGAAAAGGAAGGTAGCATTGCCATGTCGCCTCCCTCCTCCTCTCTGTTACTGTTGCTACTTCATGGAGGAAATTCCCTGGCCTTACTATTTTGTGTGGAGCAAGGAGGATGAAGATTGTCCTCTGCTTAAACTGTCCTGTGCCTCACCCAGGACCATCACCCAGCGTGGATCACTTCACGTGACCATTCTCACATCCCTTCTTATTCCCATTTCCCGTCCATGTGCTGAGGAGTTCTGTTGGGGAGACAGAGCTGTTTCTCCTCCCCTACTGTTTATCAGACTACCTGGGTGTGCTGTTCTTGGATGGGCCTTGGGAGACTGATTCAGCTGCTGTCCTTACTGCGGTGGTTTTGGACAGAGAAAATGTCAGGCCGCTAAGCAGTGCCTCGGTACCATCTAGCCAGTATCTGCCAGCTGACTCCATCCATCGGCCTGGAGATATCATTTCAGTGAGAAAGGGATCTTCTTCTTAAAGCCTGGCTTTATTTCAATGGGACTACCCTAACATGATGAGAGAGCTACAGTGCACTCTAGCTTCTGATGTTTTCATCACTGAACATCGTAACTGTGCTGTGATCCAAAGGCTTTGGCTTCTTCCTAACTGTCGTGAGAAGCCTGAGGAACACACAGCATGCAGATGCCCAGTGAGTAAGGGTTAGAGGTATGCACATTCTCTTATGCTTCAGGGATTTCCTTTTGCTCTAGTTCTTAAAAACTCATCCTTAACTTTGATCACTCTGGAGAGCAAAGAATACACCAAAGAAGTGGAAATTCAAAGCCCTCATAGGTAGTAGCTCTGCGTTTATTCACTTATGCTTTTTAGACACTCGGGATTTTGAGTGTGGATTTTGTAGTGCTAAAGAAATGATGCTTGGGATAAGGTGGGTGCTCTCCTTTGCCTTAAATTGTTGTGATGACACACTCACAAATACCAACTTGAGCAGAAAAGGGTTTATTTGGCTTATATCTCCTGAGTCACAATTCAACACTGAGGGAGTCCAAAGTAGGAACTCAGGGCAGGAACCTGGAGGCAGGAGCTGAAGCAAAAGCCATGGAGGAGCGCTGCTTACTGCTTGCTCCCCTGGCTCATGCTTAGTCTGCTTTCTTATGCAATACAAAAGCATTGACCCAGGGGAAGCACTACCCACAGTGGGCTGAGCCCTCCCACATCATTCAACAATCAAGAAAATGCCCCACAGACAGGGCCACAGGTCAGTCCAATGGAAGAAATTCCCCAGCTGAGGCTCCCTCCACCCAGGCGTGTCAAGTTGACAACTAAAGCTATCCAGCACAGCAGGTAAAAGTGCTTACCATGCAAGGTTGAGGACCTGAGTTTGAATCCTCAGAACCCACATAAAGCAAGACAAAATAACACATATCTATAATCCCAGTCCTCCTATAAGGAGATGGGAGGCAGAGACAGGAAAATCCCCACAAACTTACAGGTCAGCTACCTGGCTTTTTCATCAGGAAAACAATAAAAGCCCCTGTTTCAAACACAGTGAAAGGAAATTACTAGAACCCAAAGTTGTCCTCTGCCCTCAGAACACACTATGGCACACATATACCCACCCAGACACAGGAACACACACACACAAACACACACACACGCACACACACGCATGCACACATGCACGCACACATGCACGTGCACCACAATGGTCTGATGATGAAGACGGCCAAGTACTTCACATCAGGAAGAAACAGGACTGGAAACAGGCAGTTTCATTTCTCAGTTACATAAACAAGTCATCATAGGAATGAAAAGATGACACAATGGCAGTACGGAAGGACACCTCACTCAGCCTCTGGAATCAGGAAATGGAAGGCTTTAAGGAGAAGTAGACTGGCAATAAGGATATATGGTGTAGGAGCAAGGCTGTATCAGGGGTGTGTGTGTGTGTGTATGTGTGTGTATGTGTGTGTGGTGTGTTTGTATGTTATGTGTGTATGTGTGTGTATGTGTGTATGTCTGTGTGTGTATGTGTGTATATGTGTGTGTATGTGTGTGTATGTGTGTGTGGTGTGTGTGTGTTATGTGTGTATGTGTGTATGTGTGTGTCTGTGTGTATGTGTGTATATGTATGTATGTGTGTGTATGTGTGTGTGGTGTGTGTGTATGTGTGTGTATGTGTGTGTGGTGTGTGTGTATGTTATGTGTGTATGTGTGTGTATGTGTGTATGTGTGTATGTCTGTGTGTGTATGTGTGTATATGTGTGTGTATCTGTGTATGTGCGTGTGTATGTATGTGTATGTGTACATATATGTGCTCTGTGTGTATGTGTGTATATGTGTGTATGTGTGTGTATGTGTGTGTGGTGTGTGTGTATGTGTGTGTGGTGTGTGTGTGTTATGTGTGTATGTGTGTATGTGTGTGTCTGTGTGTATGTGTGTATATGTATGTATGTGTGTGTATGTGTGTGTGGTGTGTGTGTATGTGTGTGTGTTATGTGTGTGTATGTGTGTGGTGTGTGTGAATGTGTGTGCATGTGTGTTTATGTGTGTGTATGTGCATGTGTATGTGTATGTGTGTGTGTGGTGTGTATGTTATGTGTACGTGTGTATGTGTGTGTATGTGTGTGTGGTGTGTGTGTATATGTGTGTATGTGTGTGTGTATGTGTGTGTGTATGTGTGTGTGTGTATCCACACAAAGGCCACAGTCAAGAGAGAATATCTAATAGTGTAGATACTTGAGTTTCATTCTGCTTCCAAGAGTCTTAGAAACAATTCATAAAATAGAGTTGACACACACACAAAAAACATTTCTTCCAATTTTTTGCCGTTATAAATAAAGAGGAAAATTTTAAAGATTGCAGACAATATCACAGAACACTGAATACTGAAAAATAAGGCAGGGTTAGAATTTCAAGGCCTTACTGGTGAGCCCTACGAAAACAGATTGAGAGAGCAGGTCATGTACCTGTCTCTCACTGTGGTTGGCATTCTCCTGTTGCTGCACTCACTGTTTCTAGTCATTTTAAACTCTTCCATCCTGCCATGGAAATGTCCTCAGCCCATGCACCTGTACTGCATGTTTAATATTTGTAATTTTATTTGTGTTTAAGTAAACAATAAATCCATGTGAAGTGTAAAAGTTGATGAATAATAACTAAATTGCAGTTAGAAACTCTTCTATCTGACTTCAGCTATCAACTCAAAGTTGTCCTCTGAACTCCAAACACACTGTGGTACATGTGTACCCACACTGCCATAGGAATACACACACACACACACACACACACACACACACACACACACACACACTGACCTGATGATAAGAAGTAAGATTACCAAGTACTTCAAATCAGGAGGCAACAGGACAGGAAATGGGCAATCCTGTTGTGATCACGGATACTTATTTATTTTGTGTATTTCCAGATATTGATTTTTGTGAACTTGTTATTTTATAAATTCAGTGGAAGCAATTGCATAAAGTATATCATTTTTCAGTTATGGTAAATCTTGGAGACTTTCTCAGTACGAAGAGAGCTTTCCTTTAGTTTTGGCGACTGTAGAGTATTCCCATGCATTTAGTTCCTTGACTTACATCACCTGTACCTACCTGATAGAAAGCCTGAAAGTTGTTTCTAAAATTTTGCTATGACATTGATTCTTCCACAAATATATCACTGTGCAAAAGTCCTTTTTTTTTCGGTCTTTTTGAGACAGTGTCTCCCTCTAGCCCCAGCTGGCCTGGAACTCACTATGTAGACCAGGCTGGCCTTGAACTCACAGAGATCTGCTTGCCCCAGTCTCCCAAGTGCTGGGATTAAAGGCATGTGCTACCATGCCCAGCTGCAAAAGTCATTTTTATCTCAGGTAAATGACCTATGAGAGGCATTCCTAAATGTGAAATTTCCATATCAGAAGTGTGTGCGTGATCATTTTTGATGTTTAACTATGGCACTTCACGCCTCAGTATCAAATATGAGAGACTGTTGACTTCACCAAGCCCTGGCCAGCTCAGGTTCCATCACACTCTTCTTTCTTTCCCATAACACAGATAAAACAAGAACATTTTAGTTTTACTTTGCATGATTTTATTACCAGCAAGCATAACTTTTCTCATATGTCTGCCTATTAAAATGGGGCTGGTCATCTCTTCTCACAAAAGCTGATCATAAAGTCCAGGTAGCAGTGAAATTTGAACTATAAGCATGTATTTCTTCACCTTACCATTTTTATTTATACCTTGATTAAATCTCTTCCATGAATGATTTCAATTTATTCAATCAAACTTTAGTTTTCTATGATTTAGGTGAAGTAGCTGTCTTTTTTTTTTTATGCCTTTTGGTCATCACCCTTAATTTTAAACTGCTCAGAATGAATCTTTGATGACATGCACACTTCAAAAATGAGCCACGGTGAAAACACTACAAAAAACCACTCTTTTGATATATCTCAAAGTAATTCTTGGCTTTTTAGTATTGTCATCCCCACACTGGCTAATAGAGGCAGTGCGCTAACTAATACACTGCCAGCTCTTTCAAGGATCTCTGAAACTGGGTTGCGTCTAGTTGCTTTAAGCTCTTCTTCTCGTAGCTTCAGTTCTCTCTTTAGGTCTTCATATTGCTCCTCTAGTTTTTCATTAAGTGCTTCTTGTAGAACCTGTCAAAAGAAGAAAGCCATTTTTTAATATGTTATTATTTCATATTTAATAGCATCAAAGGCTGAGTTTATGTATTTTTTCTCGATCTTATGATCAAGATGAGTCTGTCCAAAGTTTCCACACTTTTGGACATGGACAGTGGAAGCAGCTGTCACTTGTGTCTTTCTTCAGTTCCCTTAGTAGCATCTCACATTGGGCCTAGGGCTGGACTAAAAACTATCCAGTAAAGTACAATGCCATTTGGCAGGGAGTGTGTATTTAATTCTAACTCGTTGTTCATTTCATTGAGGTGGCACGACCACATCCATTTAACAAACTGTGCTAACTGCTCACTCCATACAACAAGGCTTATCAAGCTCTAGGTTGGAGAAACAGAACACATTTTCCTCTACTTGCATAGAGTGAATCAGCCAGATCTAGAAACAGACAAAACAAGTTTTACAGCTTTGGATATTGTATTCATATCATGACTAATTTGACAATTTTATCACAAAGTTATTTGAAGGTTACACTAAGAATGCTTAGGACTAGTAAAGTGAGGCATTTGAGGATAGTTGGAGATAAATTAGAACATCCTAGAAACATACAAACATCAACCCAGCAGCCCTTAGCATATTGTTTTTCATTCTAACACTCTTTCGACTTCTAACACTATTGAGATAATGTGTATTTACATTTAAGGGCTTCACCAGAATCTAGGCTAATCTGAGATTTTCATAGATCATGTCATTTGGATTTCTCTGGGATTGTAATTTGATTAAAAACTGTCATCCTGTGTGACTACAACTGGCCAAGTTTTAGAGAATAAGAGACTACAGAGTATGTGTCCCTAAGTAGGACTCCTATATTAAGCCTCACCCATCCATGGCTCAGAGACCATTGCAGTAGAGGGGGAGGAAAGATTGTAAGAGCCAGGGTTGGTGCATGACCATACGGAAACCGAAACTTTCTGGTCTCTGGGAACTTGGTCATGTAAACTTGAAACAATGGTGACAATATGCATAAGACCCATGCTGACTCAATCAGACAAAAACCAGCATAGAACTGGAGAAATGGGCAACAGGCCCCAACCTTAACCAAGGAACTACTGGCAACTGATTACTACAGGTAAGGGAGAGTAAATCTTCTTTAAGGAAGTGACTCTAGATAGGCTGACTGGATTCCAGTGTATGAACTTGTACTAAGGGACATCTGGATACAAATGCTTGACCAGACCGGCTTTAACATATATGACAGAATGCAGGAAATCTAGTGGGAGGGGCTATGGGGGAGTGAGGATGTGGGAGGAGGTCTAAGTTTGATTAAGTTCTACTATATTAAATGCAAAAAAGTAATAAAGTATACATTAAAAACTGGCATCCTATTTTTCCTGAGGAGCCATGACAACGCCTGCCATCCTCCGCCCAGCCCTACCCTTCCTCACCTTCATCTTGTGATCCATTACCCTCCACTGCTCTACCAGAAAGATCTCCTTTTCCCTCTCCATCTTCTCCTGAAGTTGGGCAATGTTTTCTCTGAAGCTTCTCTTTTGAGCCTCCATCATTTCCTCTTGCTCCTTCTGTTTCTGTCTCAAACGTTCCTGTTTCTTCTCCATCTCCTCCTTCTTGGCCTGTTGAGCTGTCCCACACAGGTTTCACAGAGGAAAGAAACGACAATCAGAACTGAGCTGACCCCTCCTGAGCTCAGAGGCCAAGCTGATTCCCCCAGTGGGAACTCTGAAATCTCCCATTAGCCATGCCACAGGATCATGATGCCAAACATGGAAAGCAGTGGATTGGCTGGACATGCGCCTCTAGCCCTCCAACATTTTGCAGATTCGGGAGGAATCTTATTTCAAGACGATCTTTCTACCCATCACTCAGAGCGCTTATCAGAAACTCTTTACAAACTGAGCCCTCCCTATACCTGCTATGGCCTTCTGTCTGTCAGTGAGGGCTTTGTCTGACTGCAGGATAGTGTCTTCTATAGTGGCCTGGGACTGCAGAAAGTTCTGGAGTACCTCATTTGCCTGGGGGAAAAGAGAGCAAAAACATCTGAAGCAGTAAAGATTTATTCTTCTGATGAAAGAGAATTATTCAATATAACCGTTAATTTCACTACAAATTTTGAGTCCTGACTAACTGCCAACAGGTTCCCTTTAATTCTGTGGCCACAACAAAGTGTATGCTTTTGTTGAGACATGAAAACTCTCTGCATCAGCCTCCTTGCTAGCTCTCCAGCCACCTCTCCCAATGATGCTGCCCACTAGCTGTCTGAGGTACCAGCTGCAACCACACATATGTCAAGTTATACAAATGTATATGATGCCTACAAGCATAGGGAATAGTTTAGTAGCCTGGACTCTGTTTGGTTTTGGTCATGCATATCTCCCCTACCCCAACCTTGACAGCTTAATTCCTTTACCTGCATGTACTATGTACATACACTTCTATTCAAACAATATACCTAGCAACCTTAGAACCCCCAGCCCCCTCATACATTGGGCTATATATATGCCCCACTTTAACAAAAGTGTATCTCTGCCCCTAAATCAATCAAGTTGGCATAGCTTATATGCAAGTATATTGCCAATGTATGTGGAATACAAATATTGATCTGGCCTGGACTAGTTTTAGGTGTATGGACAGTACAGTACGGCAAACTATGTCTTTAAGCAAACTTTTAGGGAGATTCTCTTATTTACCATCTTATACTTATGCATAATTGGGCATGCATATGACTAAAATCAGATACGGGAACGGATGGCCATAGCAGGAAAAATGAATGAATGACCTTATCTTTAACACAGAAAACCACTCAAACTATGTGCCGTGGTAACCAGCACTTCCTTCCCGTAGATCCCATAAGAAGAGAACACAGCTGTAACATGGGACGCTTGAGTGTCCTCTCTCCCATGACCTGCTGCCAATCTTAACATACCCCTCTCTTATCTGTCCTGATTTACTCTCAATAAAGTATCTTGCTACTCTGGCAAATCTGTGTGAGCCCTTGCGTTCCATTCTTTGCCAAGAACCTGCAAATATCTGGGCTGAGCCCAAAGCCAGTAGCACATATTCTTCTCCTTTGTATGCAATATTTGTGTGCTCTTTTGTTTATACCTGGGTGCTGCCCCAAGCTTTCTTACCCAGAATTCCATTTACCAACAGTTCAATAGGTACCTTGGTATCTCCTATTCTAAGAATCTTTCCTAGGCTGCCCCTGAGGTTTAAAGACTGTCAGGTACACAGAGTAGTCTTACCACCTCTATCTGGCTATGTGACCTTAGGCCACATTTAAGCTTCTCTGTTGATCACATTCCTCAACTAGACAGTGGGATTCTATAGTAACTAATTCATTCAATCTGAGGAATAAATTGATGTTCCAACAAGAGAACTGACACTCCATTAGTTTAGGAAATGAGAACTCAGTAGCTAGTATCACCATTAGCATCACATTCACTTGTTCTACGTCAACTCGGTGCATTTAAGTAATAACTAGTTCATATTCAGCAAACAGACTGTAAGCTTCCTGAGAACAAAAGTTCTTTCTGTAATAACATCTGTTCTCTGAATAATTATCACATTGTTCAATAAATTAATGTCTTTCACTTAGATTTATTTTCTTAAATTTCTTCTTCACAAAGAAATATTTATGAGTTATTTAATACTATGTAACTTGATTGTATCTAAAGATTAGAAAGGTCAAGATACAATGTGCTCTGATTTTTCTACGTATATGGTGCTGTGGTCTTAGACTTCCAGGAGCAGCAAGGTCCCTCTAGCTGTGCTCTGTGGCCCAGCCCCACTCTCATTCCTCACCTTAACACCTTTCCTGGGCAGCCCCTCGTAGCCCTGCTCAACCTTCTTCTTGGCTTCTAAGTAGAGGCTGTGCCCTCCAGGAACAGAGAAAGCTCCTCTGGAAATGCTTTCCATGAGGGGCCCCGAAAGCTTCTGCAGCTCAGCCTGGCAATGTGTGATGGATGCTTTTTCATTCTGCAGCAAGAAATCATTCTTCCTTGTCTCTATGGTGACCTGCCAGCCCAGAAAGGGGAAGAACACACAAAGAAGCTGTGAGAAAGAAGGTGTGATGTGATCCTCCCGGGTGGCGGAGGGTGACAGTGTGATGGCCTCTCAGACTGGGACAAGAAGGAGAGCAGGAGACTTATTTTTAGCACCCTTCTGATTAATACTGAGTTTTGGAAACCCTTCTCTGGTATCGGGCTGTGTAGCCATAAAAGAGGAGAAGATTTGGAAATTACATTAACACAAGCATGAAAACGTTCGTGGACATTTTACTTCTTTGCTATTTTCATTGTATTTGGATAAAGATCCACTTTAAAGTTACAAAAAAAAAGTGTTCTTCCCACTTCTGTTCTCATAGTAGTAGGGGAGGTGAGTTTGGAAATTACATTAACACAAGTATGAAAACGTTCGTGGAATTTTGCTTCTTTGCTTTTTTCATTGTATTTGGATAAAGATCCATTTTAAAGTAAAAAAAGAGAGAGAGATGAATAAGTATGGACTCTGTGTTTCTCTTTGCCTACTAGGATTGATACTGATCTGTCGATCCATAATGAGTGTGCAAATTTAGCTATGACTGGACGTAGCGTTTCCTCAGAGAATGTGTCTTGGTGTAGATGAAATTATCTGCACAGCAAATCTACCAGAGTGTGAAAAATAAGTTTATTTTCAACAGAGTTCTGAACACCTCATGAGTTCTTTCTATGAGAGTTAGGCATTTGAAGTTAAAAGGAGTAGCAGTTTTAAGCTTTATACTTATAAACTAAAACCCAGCTGTTTTGTCAATATAAATTATCTCTTCATTTGTAGGTTGGTCAAAGACAGGGCAAAAGTGGAACTTTCAGTGATAGCAGCTGTGAACATCAGAACAAAGATGATGCCAATGAGTTCGCTCCCTTGGTGTCTACATCCTACATCATCCCAGAATATGACGGACATTAATTTTGTGACTACATTGCTCTAAATCACAGGTTAACTTAAACAAAGAAGCTTACTTAATCACGTAAACCTTTAGTTGATCATACACAAAGAAAATAACAGAGATGAGATAAAATGAAAGTATAGAACGCACCACTGATGTCTTAAAGACGAAGGGGTTCTCAGAGTCTCTAGAGAGACTAAATTCCATTTGACACCTTGTTTTAAGCCTCAGGTGCACCGAACAGAGACTCACCCTGTGCTGCATCTGACTTAAAGAACGGTTAACTAATAAATGCAGTTTCAAAGACACTAAACACTTGACAACTTGCTTTGTAGCAATAAAAAATGAAGTGTAATCTAGTAGAGCGAGGGCAGAATGTGTGCTGAAGGCTCTGTTACCCATTAGAACTCTGGTTCCTTCCATGATTAGAAGGAAACAGCGTGATTAGATAAAGAGGAAGGAGCACAAGCTTCATTCTAGAAGTGCAGGGATGAGAAAGAATAAATGCAAAAGTACATTACCACCAGCCTATTCTGGAACTCCTGTCTGTCATCCCTGAAGGAGTGCTCCATGAAGATAGCAATGGCTTCCCTCTCACAGGCTGTGTGCATGTCCAGCAGCTCCTGGAGCGTGTCTGTGGGGAGACTCACTCGCTGGACCATCTGCTCACTGTAGTGGTCAACTGCCTTCTGCACAGCCATGGAGTTCTCACGCTGAGCCAGGGTTGTCACCGCATCGTCCAGACAAGGCACTGCTCCGCTGTTAATAGCATCCACGTAGGTCTCCACGAGAGTCCCCAGTCCTGATGAGACAGGATATTTATGGCAAACTGGAAATTCCCCACTCCCCGTTTTACAAGGTTTCATGGTCTGCATCTTCAAATGTCGCATTACACTGAACATGTTTTCTTTTCTCTCTCCCTCTTGTCCCTATCTGCAGCCCACCTCTATGACTCTACTTCCTTGTAACACCGCATTGTTTTTCTTATTTCCCTTCCGTTGTTCTTCAATTCATCACATTACAAAATTAAATTAATGAATAAAATTGTATGTTCAAATGTTTACTAGAAGAACACTTTCTCTCATTGAAACAAATTAAAATGTCCTGTTAGGTTGAATGAACTCTCTAATTTGTGATCCTCATTTCTAAATGAAAATGTGGAGCCTTTGTCAAAAAAATTTCAAGAATTTCAAGATAATGAGATGAACATTAACACATCATGGCCCAGTCTTAGCATGTGTACTGTGCTACCACAGAGGGCCATGTCTAACAAAGCCAACTCTGCAGAAGAGTACCTTAAATGTGTTTCTCAAATACCCACTGAACTTACATAGCACTTGTGACCTGTTGTTTATTTTCTGAATGATGTAAACTCATAAATATCTTTGGTTTGGTTGATTGATTGTGGTACTGGGAGACTGAAACTAAGTCTTTACATGCATAGTTGGCAAGCATTCTTCCACTGAAAACAATCCCGGCTCTGCTTTATGTTTATTAACTGAATTCATTAGTCAATATAGTTTTGTGGTCCTGGGGATTAAACCCTTGGCTTTACATAAACACTAGGCAAGTGCTCTTCTGCTGAGATACATCTCCAGCCTTGCTTTATGTTTGTTAATTTAATTAAATTTTCTTCTAAGTTAATTGGTTTTCATGGTTCTAGAAGTGGAACCAGGACCCTTGCCCTTCTAAGCACTCGCTCTACTACTGAGCTCATCACATTATTTTCTTGAGACATCTTGCTAAGTTTCCTTGGTTGGCAGCCAGCTTGAGATCCTCCTGCCTCGGCCTCCTGAGTACCTGGGATTACAGATATGTACCACAATTTATGGCATAAAACATCTTTTATATCTTTTGAAAAACTCATACCTTATACAATTTCTCACCTTACAGGTTTCTCTCTTTATCGAGTTTATGGTTATATTATTAATGTATTAATTACATAAGCTATATTAGACCTCAAATAAAGTCTCAAATGGAAACTTTATAAAGAAACACGCATTTCATGCACAACGTGAACAGCTGTTTTCCCACATTCTTAAACAGCAAACAGAAGACTCTGGACTTGACCCCACACAGACACAGAAGACACATGCTTTGGAAAGTGACTCACGGGTCCCGGTGACCACAATTCCCCCTCTGAGTTCCTTGGTTCTCGAATAGGTGAAGATGTAAGAAGAGAAAGTCTTTGACTGCTTCCAGAATTTAGGGTTCAGTTGGCTGTCTGGTATATGCTCAATCATGGTTAAGAGTTCTGGGTCACAAACCGGCCAGTCGAAGACGAAGCACTTCCGTCTAGGAAAGAATTGTCTGATGCATTCCCTGGGCTGATCAGATGCTTGGATTTGGGGATGTTTCCCTGAAGAAGAGGAACAGCAGAGATCACCTTGGTCATATCTCATGGGTGGGCCAAAAACAAATGTTTTATGCAGGTTTCATGTATCCCAGGCTGGCCCGGAACCCACTGTGCAGCCAAGATGAATCCGAACTCCTGCCTCTACCTCCCAAATGCTGAGACTGTGTGTATGAGCACATAGCTTTTAAGGTACTGGTCATCAAACCTAGGCCTTTCCACAAGTGAAAAGCACCATAGAGGAAAACACTATACCAGCTGAGCTACATCCCCAGCACATAATGGTTTACTTTCACTTCTGATGTTCTCATACTTTGTAGACTACCCCATGATCACACTCACAGGTAACCAGCCTCTCATCCCCATCCCCAGACACCAGCTCCTCTCTTTCCAACTCGCCCCCATTACTCTCATGTCCCTGTTTCCCCTTCATTCTTTCTTTGTTTCAGGCCCTATGGATGCAATCACAGCTGCTGTGTGTTCATGACTGTAACAGCCATGTTATGTGAGGGCAACAGCACCCACTATAATCTTCCCCAGCTTTTGGCTCCCACTGTCTTTAGATCCCTTCCCCTGCCTCAAAAATACACAAAAGAAAACAAAACAAAGGAAACTACAATTAATAAATATGCCGAAGGGGAAGGCACAATGTAGAAGATGAAATTAATGTTCTGATGGGCTTTAGAAATATTGAAAAGTGGGCTGAGAGCTGCCTGTTCAACAACACTGGCTGTTCTTGCAGAGGACCTGGGTTCAGTTCCCAGCACCCACATGACAGCAAACAATGGTCTGTTACTCTTGTTCCAGGGGATCCAACACCCTCTTCTGACCTCTGTGGGCATCACACGCATATGGTGCACCTACATGAATGCAGGCAAAACACTCATCTACACAAAATAAAATAAAAGCCAGGCGTGGTGGCGCACGCCTGTAGTCCCAGCACTTGGGAGGCAGAGGCAGGCAGATCTCTGTGAGTTCAAGGCCAGCCTGGTCTACATAGTGAGTTCCAGGACAGCTGGGGCTACAGGGAGACTGTGTCTCAAAAAGACCAAAAAATAAATAAATAATTAAAATAAATTTTAAAAAGAAATATTGAAAAGGTAAAAGGTTATCGATTGAAAGCATAAACTGTTTCTTCAAGTTTATCCAGAAAATAGACAATTTTAGAGAAAATATGAGAATGTAGAATTTAGAAAGTTGCATTTCTACTTTGGAAGAATGAGAACCAGCGTATGAGATACTTACTCATTCTGCACACATTCTTTGACAGGTAGCTTCTTATTGAGATTTCATGTCTAACAAATATGCCCCAAAAAATCCAACACATCAAACAGAAGGGCTTAATCTTCAAACTTTTAGCATATTTTTTTCTCCTGATGCTAAGATATGTATTGTGTAAAATACAACATGATCTTAAGCATCTTCGCTAAGTGTTAGGCTCCACTTTCCTTGAGTGAGCTTAAACTCCTGATCCTGAAAATTTCCACCCATTTCTCAGTCTCCATTTCTATGGACTTTAGTCTCACATGCAGATGTTAGCCCAGATGCGATGGGCAGTGCTTAGTGGCCCACCCCTTACTAAGAAATCCTCTTCTCAGTTCTTGCTCTAATACCTGGAATCAGCTTCAAGGCATTCTCCAGATACTCATCTTCCGTGATGCAGTGACCATCTAACTTCAGCTCCAGAGTAAAATCCCGTACGGTCCAGATAAAGTCTGGAAAGAAACTCACAAAATCTCTGGCATCTTCTAGCCCATCAGTTCTTGGGGAGGATTTTGTTCTGATTAGCTCTGTGAGCTCTGTCACAAAACTAAGATTTGCTAAGGAAAAATAGCTCAAAATCAAAAATCTCCACACTTCCTTTATAAAAAGGTCACAATTATTTTATCTCACTTTCAGTCCCATCTGCTCCATCACGGGCAACTCAGTCCCAGAGAAGGAAATTCTGACATAGTCTCATTCCCAAAAGGTCCTCAATAAAACAGCGCTCTGACTCTGTGAAGGATACTGCAGCTTTTCCAGGGCATCGTTGTTGATGCTGTTCATGCTGTTGTAGACAAAGGTGCTGCTCAGAAGCACGGCCAGGGCAAAGATCCATGCATCATTCTTAGGGTCCCCCTAGAAAGCACATTAGAAGAGGCCTTTGCAGTTGACTATTGACTTAAAGATCATGCAGACCTCTGCTCGCTCGGGCTTTCTTCTATTATTTCAACTAACATGTTGGTTCTACCGAGTGGCAAGCTCTCACAATTACACTGGGATTTCTTGTGATCACATTTCCCTGGTAAAAGAATTGGAATGGCCAGGTATGGTGATACATACCTTTGATTCCAGCACTTGAGAGACAAAAGCAGGTAGATCTCTTTGAGTTCAAGGCCAGTCTGATCTACATAGTGAGTTCTAAGCTAGCCAGGGCTACACAGTAAGACCCTGTCTCCAAAATAAAACAATAAAAAAGAATTTGAATAATATTTTTCTTACAGTGTTTTCTTTATGTACAATGTGATGGATTGATATACTACAGATAAAAAAAATCTAACAGAGTATCTGGTGTCGAATTAGGTATCAGTGATAACGTCTACTACTTACTCATTCTGCACACATTTCAGCCTTCTACCATGCTTGACACAACTGAGGACTCCAGTCATAACCAATTAAAAGAACAATTAGCTATACATACTGCTGCCCTTACTACTCCCAGGATGACTGATTAAAAGTAATGGCAAGGGCAAACTTATAAAATGAATTCAGCAAACCTGAGTTTTCTTGTTAACACTGTATATGAGAACTGCAACCTGCAGCCACACTAAAATGAAGATAAGTCTCAAGAAAGAACATTCATTTTGACACCAGGAGAAAGTGTACATGCTCTGGTTTTCTTGGTACTAAGTGTTAGAGGCTTCATAGAAAAGGATGTGATGGGCTAATCATGTCATGCAGGAAGAAGCCAGAAGAAGCCATCAGAGATCCTGCACCTCAAGAGTTCTTTCAGTCAAAATGATGTTGTTTTGTCTGCTGTCACAGAAGACAGAAGGCTAGAGAGTGAATTCTGGAACAAGGTGCTAAGGAGCTTTAAAAGTCAGATGAGTTTGCTTGTATAGATGCTAATAAATTGTAGCATAATCTAGAAACTCTTTCTTTTGTAACTGTTTGTAAAGGTTAGCCCTGAGCCCTTGAGTAAATGAAAAACTTTGCTAAGAGACTCTATATGGATTGTTGAGCAAGAAAAATAGTATTTCCCATAAAGCAATTTTTGAAGTAACTAGGGTAATCAATAGTAGGAATTGTGATAAAAAAAAAATCTTTAAACACTGACATGATAGTTTGGTTTGTGTTTTAAAAGGAAATAGACTATCTAGCTCTGCTTTGGGAAGAAAGAAGGACCTGTACAAATATAAATACTATTCACAAATAAGTCTCGAAGTAAGATTTTTAAAAAAGGATAATAAAGAAACATCAGCTATCTAACACATTGCTATAAAGCTAAAGTATCTGAAAAGTCTATTTAAAAATGCTTGTTGGAAGGCAAACGTGTGCTTGTTTAGAAGCCTCTCACGGCCTTGCTGAATATTCTGTGAGACTGGTGAACCTCACCACAAGAAGTGTCACCCACATCCCCCTTCACTGAGACCTCTAAATGCACAGTGTACCCTGTACTTCAAGAACCTCCTCTCATCTTGTGGGATGTATCAGCATCTCTCTACTTGCCTTTGAAGATATCCTCATACTCAGCATTTGTGCTGAAGAAGGCAATGTGCTACTTGGGTCAACTTACTACCCTAACTTGGTGATAAATGACAGCTTTCAGGTGTCTCATAACGAGAAAGGTTTTCAGGACAGCCTTCTGATGAAGAATCATTGTTCCAGTTCGGGACAAAAAGATCATTCTGGATACACAGTTCACATGGTCTGGGAATATGTCTATTCCCCTCTACCTTACTGCTACTTTCTCATGTTTCCTACAGATCAGGTGTTCATACATGTAATAAATCTCCACCATGCTAATCTATCCATGTGTCTGGGTTCAAGGGAGCCTGCCTTGATTTTAAATACCAATGCATCAATAGCCATACAGTAAGTCCAGTTGGTACCGGTTGTTGCCTGAACCGAAGGCTGGGCCTTACCTCTGTTCACTAGTATCTACAAAATTAAGCCCAAAGGACTAAGGTTGAGCTGCTCAAAATATGTTTAGTAAAAATAAATAAGCATTTTAGATAATCTACTACAATATTTGATTGTTTTTCCTAGAAGAGAAGTTGAAACTCCAAAGTTCAGCTCCTGTTCTGTACTGTTTCAAGGCAGAAAGCTTAGATGCCATACGGTCTTCTGCAAATGTTTATTAAGATATAAAGTGAAATCAAGAGTAACTTTTTGGCATCTCCTTTCTGACTCACCTTTTCCACATCACCCAGTCCCTCGGTGTCCAGGAGGACCAGGGTGCGCTTTGGCTCCATGGGGTGGGGCACACACCACATCCAGATGCCCTTGGTTTCAGATTGTACTGTGGAGCCCAGGGAGAAGCCTGAAGGGAAGGAGAGAAACCATGTACACAACAACAAGAAGATCAGGGCAGCCCAGGAACGGCAAGTCAGAATCTCAGCATTGTAAAGCAGCCCAGGAAAGAAAACAGCACGGCCAGCACTTCATCAAGGATGGTGGTGCCCCACTTCCTGTGCCATTTCAAGGAGTGGGAAGCAAATATGAGCGTGACACAAAGTAAGGGCTCAAGTTGGAAGAAAATTAAAAAGAATGCTCAGAGTCAAATAAAACAAAAGCTGTTGATAGCTATTGTTATAAGGATTTGAAAAAAA